TATATTCTTAAATTGCTTGGTAAACTCGTCCTTCTAAAGTACTTTAAAAGGTCAAGTTTTGCCCAAGTCTCCTCTCTGAAAATTAATGAGGCTTTAATGTACTCAGAAATGCAAAAGTAACATCAAGGTTACTTGATTGAACCAAGCCAAAGAACCTTCTAGAATAGCAACATATTTTGGCTGGGTTTCTACTGTAAAGTCACCTATTCTTCTAAATGGGGTATTTTAAAGAACATTTATATTTCAACATATTGGCAGAATTACTAAGTCATTTGTAAACAGCAGAATAATTCTTTTCTACCATTTTTAAATGGTCAGATAGGAGAAATAAAGCGTGTAAACAATACTGAAGGTGGCTGCTCTACTTTACAAGGATCCTAAGAACTGCAGTCCTCAGTTAAATTTTAAATTGAAGGTTGGATGACTGAACTCTTGCACTGAACAGTCGACCCCACCATGCTTGCATTATGCCAGCGAATTATATCTGTCTCAATCACTGGTGTCAAAAGGTTGTGGGTTCAACTCAAGGTGGTGCCACTTACTGTCAGTGTGAGCTAGGGCAAGTTCAATTTTGCAAGGTTTAGACTGTTCATCTGTAAAGCAAGGATATTAAGTGGTAAGTGCTAACTTTATGTTGTGGAAGCCTGCTACCGAGCCTTTCCTACGATAAACACAGGCACTTTATACATATACTATACATGTGGGATTACCTACTAGTGCTACTTTCACTGTGTGCAGAACGAGGTCAGGCCTTGAGCTTTCAAAGAGACACACTAACAGGTAAAGGCAAGAACTGTCAACCAAAGCACATACTAAATCTATGAAACACCTGACTACAAGAGATGATTCAGGATTTTAAAAAAAATATAAAGAGATGGCTCTTTGACATACTGTCATGAGTTCTGAACTCATCTTAACCTCTGAGGTTCAAGTCTAGGAAGACAGCAACATTCTTCTGGAATGTGACCTTCCACATGGGTGTTTTGCCTATAAATCAAAGTTTTTCTTTTGGATGTCCAGCTTTCATCTGAGCCGAGTTAAAAAGTTAACTGACTGGCCAGGCACGGTGGCTCACGCCTGTAATCCCAGGCAGGTGGATCACGACGTCAAGAATTCAAGACCAGCCTGGCCAATATGGTGAAACTCCATCTCTACTGAAATTAGCTGGGCGTGGTGGTGGGCACCTGTAGTCCCAGCTACTAGGGAGGCTGAGGCAGAGAATTGCTTGAACTCGGGAGGCGGAGGCTGCAGTGAGCTGAGAGCATGCCACTGCACTCCAGTCTGGGTGATGGAGACTCCAACTCAAAAAAAAAAAAAAGTTATTTTTCTCTTAGTAATAGTAGGCAGTAATAATTTTGGTCCTGGTACATCTTCAAAGTTAGTATCTATGATTTCTTAAAATTTTTATTCTGGAGAATTTTTTGTGGATATCCTCTACCCTCCAAATCCCCCAAAACGTGTATGTTAGTATAAAGTGCCATTATTCTAGCAAAATCAGTCCTGAAGACCACATTCATGTATTAGGGCGACACTGTGCCACCAAGAAAAAAATTTCCTTGAACTGATACCAATTTAGGGAGAAATTCACTCCCAATAAAGCATAGAACGCAGCACAAACACCAAATTCATTATATATATGTAATATATATGTAGATATACACAGCTTTGTATGTCCTTTAAAAAAAAAAAAAAGAACATTCAGCACTAGGCACTTTCATTGCTTCTGCTCTAACCCAAATTGCTGCTTGTAAAAAGGGGCTTTTCTCCCCTACACTTACGTTGGAAACAAATACCAGCCACGGAAGAGTAGCTGACTACAACTGCCCACAGACACACTAAAATTTGAGCACCTGAGCTGGTTCACCACGTGAGCTGTGTTCCTCAAGGAAATTTGGAAAGAAAACCTGTTTTAGCCAGGACCTCGGAGGGCCAAAAAGGCAGCTTGTGGCAGGACTCGGTGGGCACAAGACTAAAAGCCTGGGAGTTCTCTGTGCCCTTACCCTTGGGCTTCCTGAGAAGCAGGATCCTGACTCAGACCCTGAAATCGTGAGATATTCACATTCTCACTCAGCAAATGGGTCTTATCATCCCAATTAATCTCCAGAGTTGATGGTTAGAAATGCAAAGATACTCCCTAGAGACTGCTGGACAGACTAAGGAGTCTCTATACACTGAGAATGTAGACTAAGACTGCTGAGGGAGAAATAATTTAAGTAGTGATTGGGCTGTGAAGAAAACATTGTCAACACCTGTCTTAACTTTCGGCTACTCACAAATATATGGATTCCAACGAGAGCTAAAACCATGATGCATAGTATTTAGGCCAAATTTCAAAGAGCACATCTGACCATGGTATTACTCATCACCTTAATCAGGTATCCATAAATCTCCTATGCTTCCAGGCTAGAAAACAATACTCAAAGGGCATTTGTTTTCAATGTTGCTATTCTGTTTGGGGTTCTGTTAGAAAACAAACAAGTCTGCTATCTTGTGTTTTCCTCCATGACACTGGATTCTTGGTCACACCTTAATATTTACTCAGCTGATTAACTATAGGCATCCGTCTTATGCAAGCAAGTCTTGTTCTGGGAAACAGATAAACTGGAACGCCAAGGACAGAGCAACCATGGATCCACACGAGTCACCTGCTCATCTCATTTCCCCATCCTACAGCAGACCATGAAAGCTGGCGTTGCCTCAGAGGGCTTGGCTTCAGACACCTCCTCCCTGAAGAACTCTCAGAAGAACATGTTGATGTGGAGGAGGAGGAGTGGGGCTTTGCTGATTGGCTTCTGTGATGGGTTTCTCAAGGGAAACGAAAGGTTTTGAAGTTCTGAAGTATTTGAAGTATCTCTTCATAAGTGCACAAGTGGGTACAAAATGGTAGAACAAAATGTACTAGTTAGACCACAAAATATTCATTTCCTCTGGCTGAAATAACCAGAAGTGTTAGCTGAAATCAGAATATGCCTAATTGGCAACTCCTTTGAAGAGAATATACAATCAACTTTGCCTCCACCCAAAGAAGAGGACACGCTGTCCTGAGTTTTCACTAACTTTCACTGTTTTGACAAAGAGAAAGAATGAGATAAATGTGGGTAAAACTTGTCATGAAAGTGTCTGAGAGAGGCATCTCTAGCATTCCTGGGTTGCAGGTGTTAATATCTAAAGTCTACAGGGAAAAAGGTGAATGGGATCCTTGATGGAAACAGGAATGGAGACTCACAGGTATTCCTAATTTGCACTCATGCTAAATTATCCAAGAGATTGCATCCTGATATTGCGGCCAGGTCATCCTCCTCAGCTACAATACTCAGAAATTCCTTTCCATCTTCGATCTCATTGTCTCTCCCCACCCTCAACCCCAAACACACAAACCTAGACACCCCTGTAAAGGAGGAAATATAAAAGCAAAGAGTAAGAACTTGCTGCAACGCCACACCAGGTCACAGGTAACTGGCCTTCTCTCTGCTTGGAATAGAGAAGAAGAACAAATTATGCACCTGGCAAATATTTGCATGGTCTCTAGAGCAGTAATACTCATCCATTTGTTCACAAAAGCACACAACTGAAGCTGAGAGAATAAATCAATTCAATTCAACAAACATTTACCAAGCTCCAGTCTGATTGTAGAGTTTTTCTGGGGGAAAAAAAAATCGTCCATCTGGCTATTGGAGCAGATTTTTAAAGACGTCTAGAAATTTCTTCCCTTCCCTCTCATAAGAAGCAACCAACTCCCTTAAATAATCAACACAGACGTATTTTATATTGCAAAATGTAATTAGCCCAAGGCATGCCACTTTCTTTTTTGTAGATGGAAAATAATTCCCTTCTTACCTTTCTGGGAAAATACAATTTGTTTGTTGTATAAAAACAGCATCTCGATTTACTAAGAAATCAATGAGTAATCACCAAGTCATCCATCACCCTTTAGTATTTTGAATATAAAGATGAGAAGCACTATATATTGACACAGGCTATAGTATTGCTGCTCTATATTAGAAATTCAGACTTATCAAGAATCTACTTAAAATATTCTAAACATGCAATGGATGGTCAGGGCAAAAGCAATCTTTGCCAAGCATTTAAGGAGATGTTATACCAAAGTTTCCTCCTGGGAGCTTCTGAGCTGAACTAAGAGAATTTAGGCCACCCGATCAAGAGTCATGCTCGACCACTTACTTGGGGGCTTCAGGAAAGTCATTTATAAACTCGCAGACCTTAGTTTCTCTCCTTTAACACAGGATTAATCGTACTTCTTCTACCCAACTTGTGGGGTTACTGTGAAGGTCAAATGAAATAATGAATATGAAGGTTATTTGAAAACCATTCTAACCACTGATGTCAATGTTTAACTCTACAGTCCCAAAGACATGGTAGAAGATGGAAAACAGAAAAAAAAAGGTACAGCTATCTCCAAAAAGCTATCTGTTATCAAAAGTGTGTAACGGGCTCTTTCAAGGTTCAGACGAGCACGGTCCTTTGTGCTTAGTCACAAAAACAGCCTTAGAATTATAAAGCCAGTTGTAAAAAGAAGGAAAACCATTTTTTTTCTTTGACCTATTCTCATCTGTCATATTAGATGGTAAGTGGACACTGTTTCTACTTATCAGGTATCAAACTGCTGTTGGCTACTAAATATTACATTTTGTGTCAGTCTCCTTAATTAATATGCTTAAACAGTTGAGATGAAGCAAACCTAAACATATCCCCCTGAGTTAGAGCATTCCAAACTCAGCAGAACATAGAATACTGTTTTTTGTTTTGTTTTGTTTTTGCCCAGGCCAGAGTGCAGTGGTGTGATCTTAGCTCATGGCAACTTCAGCCTCTCAGGTTCAAGTGATTCTTCTGCCTCCGCCTCCCAAATAGCTGGGATTACAGGCCCACGCCACCACACCTGGCTAATTTTTATATTTTAGTAGAGACAGGTTTTGCTGTGTTCGCCAGGCTGTTCTCAAATGCCTGACCTCAGGTGAGCCACCTGCCTCAGCCTCTGTACCTTTTTTTTTTGGTACTTATTTTTAACTACCTACTCTGTATTGGCACTACAGTAATAGTAAGGTAATGTCCCTGACTCAAGGAGCTCAGTTTAGGAGATAGCCAGACTGAGGACAAGACAGACAGGTCAGCATACCGAGAGAAGAGGCAGGGAAGGCTATCAAACCCCACGGGGCAGGGTGCTACCCGAGCCATGTGTTAAGGATGAAGTATGGTTGCTAGCCAACAGGGGGTGGAAAAGGGCACAGCACAGATAAACAGACGCTGTGTGCAGCGTGCACGAATGCCCAGCAATGTGCTACCATGGAGGCACACAGTGGGAATCGGGATGGGCCGTAGATGAAGCTGGAGAGGGAGGCAAAGGTCACGTCATGGGGACCTGTGACTGGGAATGTAGAACTGTGCTCCCTGGAGTCTAAGGACTCCACTCAAGTGTGGGGCTGCTCCGTGGAGGGAGGTGGAGGAATATCAGGGGAGTGCTGTGTTAGCAAAGGGATGCTCCATCAGGTGGATCCTATCCTCCACCCAGAACATTCCACTATTGAGTGAAATACTGGAGTTTCCAGTGGCGGAAAAATGTTTTGCTGCTTTGAAAAACAGTTGATACATTTAAAGGTAAAGAAAAATCTCATTTGTAAAATTGCAGTAAAAATAACTGCAGCCCAGACATTTTAATATAGAAAATGTATTAGTCTGTTCTCACACTGCTAATAAAGACATACCCGAGACTGGGTAGCTTATAAAGTAAAGAGGTTTAATTGACTCACAGTTCTGTGCAGCTGGGAAGGCCTCACATTCATGGCTGGAAGTGAATGAGGAGCAGTCACGTCTCACACGGTGCAGGCTGACAGCTAGTGCAGGGGAACTCCCATTTATAAAACCATCAGATCTCGTGAGGCTTACTCACTACACGAGAACGGTACGAGGGAAACTGCCCTGTGATTCAACTATCTCCACCTGGCCCTGCCTCTGACACTTGGGGATTATCACAATTCAAGGTGAGATTTGGCTGGAGACACGGCCAAACCATATCAGAAAACACACACAATATCCTTTTAGGATTCATGCAAAAATGCTTGTGTATTTTTTGAGGACGTCTACCTGGGAAGGACTGTTTTATTTAGATATACACAGGGTAGAAAAATCAAGAGCTTCAGCTGGTTTCAGCTCCCTACAACTCGGTGCAGGTGCTGGCTGGTCAATCGCCTGCAGATAGTAAAGCGGGCTGTTGGTGAGTTACCTCAAGGAATGCCAACCTAAGGGCACACAGACGTGCAGACCCATTTCAGGCTTGTTGGTGAGTTACTTCAAGGAATGCCGACCTAAGGGCACACAGACGTGCAGACCCATTTCAGGCTTGTTGGTGAGTTACCTCAAGGAATGCCAACCTAAGGGCACACAGACGTGCAGACCCATTTCAGGCTTGTTGCAGGTCCAGAGTTGCAGGACATTATCCAGGAAACTACCACCTCTTAATTAAGTTTTAAGTTTGCTAACAGTATTTTTGAAAACAGAGATCAGGGCATGGGGTGGAGTGGGAATAACAGGGTGTGGGGAGTTAATATTTAACAGGTTCAGGGTTTCAGGTTAGGATGATGAAAAAGTTCTGGAGATTGGTGGCAGTGAGGATTGCACAACAATGTGAATGTACTTAAATGCTGCTGAATTGTGTCCTGACTTAAAATAGCTAAGGGGGTAATTATAATATGTACCTTCTACAATAGGAGAAAGAGGTACAGCTAAAAAGTAAGAGTTTCAGTAAGATCAATTCAGCTAGGGGTCTCATACCACAGCCCTGAATGTGGTGCACAGATCAAAACTGAATTTCTCAAGAAATACTTAAAGTATCAACTCAAAGATGTTAAACAGCAACGGGCAATTTTTCTAAAACAAGAAGTCACCTTCTCCTTAAAGGAGACTGAGCTCTTCACATCATTTCCTAACTCTTCCCTGCTGTCCACAAAGATGATATGGTTATTATGATTTTTGCGGTAGATATTTCATAATTTATTTAGAAAAAATTGTGTAGCCAGCTACTACACTTGTCTTCCTTTGTTGTAGAGGTGAATAAAATGGACACAGTAGTTCTGTGCTTTGCCTTGCAAAGTGAGCAACAGGATCAAGATTGAAGCACTGCCCAAGGCCACTGCACCCAGCAGGCAGAGGTTGTAATGGCCTATTCTAGACCCTCACCACCCACAAGGCTCCTACTTAGTAGTAAGTATACATTTGCTTGACAAACAGCAGATATTTCTTTTTTGCATATGCAAAATATCGAAGCAGATTTAATACAATTACATTTAAGGTTAAACCACAGCGATAAGAAATATCATCTCAGTAGGACAGTTAATTGGTTATTCTTTTCATTAAAGAGTCTCAAATGTTTCCCAGGTACAAAATAGTTAAAACCATGAAGAGCCCTAAATTCTGTGCCTGTAGTCCTGGCAGGGTTTCATTTTACAGGTTACAAATCACCCAGAATAGTAACTATTGATTGTTTAATTACTTGAAAGTGCCTTATAATCACCAAGTCATTAAGGGTGTTATGAGATCTAAAAACTACAAGTCATGAGGGGGTTGTGCATCAAGTTATTTGGCAACTCATTGATACATATGAGGTGAAATGAAAGAATTTTGGACTAAAGCATTCTAAATAGAGCATTCTAGTGCTTGACTTACGACCACGGTCGGGACCGCGGACTGGTCGTAACACAATTTGGTCGTAAGTTGAGTAGGCTATATGTACAGTTGAAATGGTGCACGCAGAGATGGTAGTGCTGCCGGAAGCTGGTCCGCACTGTCGTACGCCCAGCTGGGCAACGTTTGCGCTGCCAGACGCAGAGCAGTTGTGGCTAGCGATTGTGGTCGTAAAGTCAAATGGTCGTAAGTTGCATAGGTGGTAAGTCGATCAATACCTGTACTTCAAATCAGAATTAAGCACATGGGTGCCAATCCATGTCCATCCCTAGCAGAAAATATCCTCTTTTCATCACTGTTAGAAAGTATATATCATCATTCACTGAGAACCTGCTAAAGCCTTGTGGCTCTGAATTAATGAAAGAATGGTATAAAATGTGCATGTGTCTACATCCTTCAACACAGACTACACCAAGCCAAGCCACCAGGCCAAATGAGTACCTTGGCAATGTTAGGCATTCAGTGTAAATCATTTTGCTAATGGTTTGGAATATTTCTGTTACAGTTTTGTAGCTGGAAAAGCACAGGCTGTTAAGTGGATTCATGGAAGCAACTTGTGGAGGTTATCCAGACTAGTGCTCTATTCAGAATTAAAAATGGTCATGTCCAAAAGGAACTCTGGAGACTCTCTGGCCAGACCTCTTCATTATACATGAAACCAAGGCCCAGAAGACTTAAATGACATGCTTAAGCTCATACAGCTAAGAAGACTCAAGGCCAGAAGAGCCATCTGTCCACGTTGTCTTCAAGGCTTCCTAACCCTACTTCACATCAGGTGAAGGTAATCAACTTACCCTCTGAGTCTGCATTTCTTTATCTTTGATCCTGGCCCAGGCCATCAACAGCAGTCAAGCCTTTGGTAACACTACCTCTCCCTAGAGTACCTTCTTAATTCCCCTTCCACATACATCTATTCATCTTTTAAGACTCCACTCAAGAGTCACCTCATATATGAAGGCTTCCCTGGTCTTCCCACAGCCCCCACAAAATTGGCTCTGCTCCATATATTCTTTGAAGTGACTGACTTTCACATCTCGGCCATCCGAGACTTCAAACCTTTGGATGGCAGGGATCACATGCTTATCTATAAACCCTGCCTGAAAGCAATTGTTAGATACATGAAGTTGTTACATACATGAAGGCTGACACTAAATAAATGAATAAAAGGTAAACAAAACCCCAGGATAAAGCTAAAAGGCGTAGACTTGTCCCCAAAAGCAAAGATACCCAAAAGAGCACTTACACCACAGAGAACCTCAGGCCAGCGGCTCTCTATCCTGACTCTGCATTACAAGCATCTGGGAACATCTGGAATAAAACCTCACCCAGCCCAACATCAGACAAACTAAAATCAAATGTTTAAAGAAAACCCCAATTATCTATAGTTCTGCAAAATTATCCAGATGATTTCTATAAAAGGTGAGGGCTGAGAACCACTAGTAGCAACAAGAAATCCTGCATAGTCCCTGTATCAAGTTTTGGTAGCAACTCTAGAGGCTCAGCCACCTAGCAGAGAAACTGACCCTTCCATATGGCATCCAGCACAGAGGCACTCACAAAGGTCTTCCTTCCATGTTCATATGACAACCATCTAATTCATTACACTCAACAGATCATGCACAAGGTGGCATGGTCCTCAGACAAACTAGATGCAAACAACTCAGGGATCTATGAAGATGGAAAGCTCATCAAGCCAACATATTTCAAAGGTAAATGATTCTCCTACTTATTGGAGAACAGAAGTAAAATTGTTACCTTTAGTTCCAGCAAAAGTACTCTTTGAGACTAGGTAATGAAGACCGAGGATGAAGAAGAGGAAGAACAACATAGGAATAAACTTCCCTAGGCCCCAAGATAACAGGAATGTGCCACCTCCTATTGTGATAAATGACAATAGCAATAATCAAACCTTACATGTACATGGGAATTTATATTCCACAAAATACTTTCATAGTCATTAATTAATTTCAACCTCACAATAGCTTGGTGGAGAATACCACGAAAACTATTTCTTTATATTCTAATTTTACAGATGAGAACAATTGAAGTTCCAAGTAGATCTACGGCAAGCTCAAAGCTAAGGCAAGTTAAGGGTAGAACCAAAACTATATGACAGGCCCTTAATGCCTAAACGAGGTTCTTGCTGCTCCACATCCCTTCACTAATCTCTCAATAAAGACTCTCCCCTGAGATCTTACACTACCTGAAGAAGAAATACTGTTGCTTCTCCTCCAAACCTTGTGAAATATAAAATTATTCAGAAACAATTTCACTCCACCAAAGTTCCACGGTGCAGCAACCAATTCCTGATTCCTCTATTAATCTGTCTTCTCTTTATACATTACTTAGAAATTGGCTTTTTTAAACACTAAAGACCAAATATAATATCCAAATGGCAATTATATCACCAAATACAATGTATGAAGTATTGAGAATTGTATTAGGTTAGTGCAAAAGTTACTGCAGTTTTTGCCATTAAAAGAAATACCAGAATTAGGTTGGTGCAAAAGTATTTCGCCATTACTTTTAATGTCAAAAACCATAGTTATTTTTGCACCATCCTAATATTTAATACAAATAATGGCATTCTAAGCATATATAAAACCCAATAAATCAAATGTAGAATGTGGAGCACAAAGACATGTGTTTCTAACTTCATTCCTCTATGAATGTTTCTTTTGAGCCATAGAATGTTCTATGAAAGCAAGACCATAGGAAGAACTGGCATATGTGTTTGGGAAGAGGAAAAGGTTATTTAATGTCTACTATGTGTCAGGCACTGAGCTGAGCGCTGCCACACATTAATGTTTTATACTTGAGTTTTCATTAACAGCTCTACTCTGTTCTATTAATCAAAGATAAAGACATTCAGACTCAGAGGGAAAGTTGGTTATCTTCACACAATTGGAACAGAGCAGAACCAGACTAGGAATCCAGCTCAGTCCTGTTCCAAAGTCCTTTTCATTATACTCTTCCCACTTATGAAATTGCTCATTTATGCTCCCAGAGGTGGTAGAAATACCAAGGCCTCTAAGCTATTTCCAAATCCACATCTTCCAGCCCATTCAGGTCCCCACTCTGCCTGGACAGCATCAATTCCTAAAGAGTCTACACTTTCACTGTGCCCACCTGCACCTCAATGTCAAGAGTTTTGCCATTTTGTTTTATTTTTAGAGCAGTGGTTTTGCCTCCACAGAAGACCCTGGCAAAATCTGAAGACATTTTCGGCTGTCACAACTTAGGGGTGCTACTGCTTTCTAGTTGGAAGAGGCCAAGGGGGCTGCTATATATCCTGCAATGCACAGTACACCCCCACAGCAAAGAATTATCCAGCCCCAGATCTCAGGAACACTGAGGCTAAGAAATCCTGCCTTAGAGTGATAATGTGATTTGATACGTGTGCTTCCTCCCCAGTAGAATGAGACCGTAACTACCATGAGGAATAACTGAGACAACATGCATAAAAACCTCTGGTGCAGAGTGAGCAGTCAGTCCTAATTAGATAATCCGATTACATACTTCTTAAGAGGAGGAACCTCCTCAGTTAGCTGTGCATTATTCCCATACAAAGCACAGGGCTTTTTTCATGGGCACTCAACAAATGTGAAAGAATGTATTCTTTATGTTAGAAATTCTTGATTAAAAAACAAATGCCACTATTATCTATAAAATGCACCATTCTCCCATACTTACTCCTTGCCAAACAAGAAATGAATAGTATAATACATGATTCATTGCAGCAGGCTATGAAAGGCTGCAGTGCATCCTGGGTAATGTTACAGAATCGCCTCCATAAATAAACCATGAATAAACTTACTATTGAAATGTTTTATCTTATTTTAACGGGAAGTTAATGAAGGGATTGCGATATACAGATTTGAGAAAACTGTAATCATAAGCATATCAAATAAAAACACTAAAAGTCAAATCTCTGAATAAGCCAAAACTCGTTGGTATCACATCTCAGGTCAAGATCTTTGTTTTTTGCTTTCCTCAGTTTATGCAAGTTTGAGTCAGCATGGAAATCCTAAAATAAATGATTACAGAAAGTGTTAGGCTTCACATTCACTCAAGTGACCTATAACAGGATGATACACAGTCATTTTTGTAGTGTCTGGAGGTGCAGTCCCAGGACCTTGAACAACAGAATGAGCATTTACACTTATTAAAGGTGCCCAGAGGATACCCCAGACCCACTGAATCAAAATTTCAGAAGCTAGAGCCTGGAAATCCTTTTTTTTTTTTCACTTTAAATCCTTTCCCAAATATCCATTTTACATTACTAAAGTCTGAGGACCTCTGCCAGGAGACCAAACCCCAGAAAATTGCTTTGCCTCATTTTGTAAATTTCTAGCATGGCCTTGCTTCTGCAGACTACAGGTAATTCATTAAACATAACATCCACATCCACCTTCCATCATAAAAAAACATAGGTAGAGCATTTTGTTTATTGGTTTTGTGCAAATATGTTTTCCTAAAGTATAAAGATTAACATTTTATGAAAATGTTAAAAATTTTAAATTAGGAACAAATATACAGAGAAGTATCAAGGAAACATAGCTCAATTCTGGGCCCTAAAACTGTCAACATTTACTATGTGCCAGAGTAGGGATAGAGTGATGGCCAAACTAGATCTCTGACTTTACTTTCCCTTGACTTATGTATTTAAATTGCTAAATACAAACATAAACAAGGAAGTGTGATAATTCAGAGAGTAGCAATACCACAAAAACAATAAAACAGGTTAATGTGATAAAGCAAGCCTATGGCAGAGGGAAGCAGAGGCAGGGTCTGGCTGTAGTAGATATAGGGATGAAAAGTGGCTTCCTTGAGAAGGTAACATTTGAGCTGAGACCTGAAGGAGAAGGAGCCAGCCATGAGGGGGCTGGGGGAAAGTGCTCTAAGTAGAGGGAACTGTAACTACAAAGATCCGGAGGTAAGAACAAGGTGCTCATTCTAATAGAAATGAAATCATATATTCAAAAGGTTTTATGGAATATAAAACTATTCACAAGTATAAAACATAATATTTCCAGGGCAGAAGCAGAGATAATGAAGGGCCTCAGGTTTGTGTCATAAGAAGAATGAATCAAGCAACTGAGGCTACCTTGTCTGCACAACAGGAGATATAAGTATATGTTTGGAGGAAGAAGGGAGAAATCTTCTTCAAATATCAAAAGGACTACATTCTTGTGAAAGAATATTTAATTTTAAATTTTAAATAACTCTAGAGGTATGAAATGGGTTTTAGGAAGGCAGCATCTCAGCTCAACATGATAATGTTCACAGGAATTCAGGAAAATGGACTATCAGGGAAGTAGTGAGTTCCACATGACTGGAGATGATCAAGGATGGGTGGGACAGCCAGCTGGAAGAGGAGAACTCAGAATGAGGACTATGAAGAATCTTATAGCCCATTGGAAAAATATACACTCACAGCATCTGTGTCTCTCTCATGAGCACTATAGCTACCATAATGGCCTCCCTACTTTGCACTTTACAACTTTAAGGAGCATTGAAAAGAAATATGAGAACTCCTTCATATTTCTAATTCACATTACCAACCTGGGATAAAATATGACTTCATCTCCGTAATAACCAATCTATGCTCAAAGGGCAAATTAGGAGACAGGAGAGACCAACATTTATTTAAAACCTGTGGCTAATTTGTAGTAGTATTTTAGCAGTAAACATTAAACAATTATTTCAATTTGCTAAAAGAATTACTTATTTTAACAAAAATGGATCCAGATTCCATTAGGTTCCCAATAGGTAGCATGCCAATAAACAGCCAAGACCTTTAGTAAATGGGTATGTGGCCTTTTGTTGGTTTATTTTTTAATGCAGCCATGAGCATAGGGAGATGGTTTCCTCATTAAAAGCCCTGACAGTGAGTCACTATTCTTTATTATCTACCTATGCTCCTCAGTAAATAAAGCAAAAAACAGATACTGAATCACTACTTGATTATCTGGGACCAAAATGCTAAAGATAAACTAATCTAAGTTTGCTCAAAATAGGAATAAGCCAGAATTGGGAGTAAGACTAGAAGCAACTTTGAAAAACTAAACATTATTAAATGGTTTTTATATAAAATATTTATATTTCTACACCTAGATGTACCTGGCTGTCATGCAGATACATCTCAAGAAGTATTGTCTGAATACCTACATGTACTTTTTATTTATTATATTAAGTATGTTTCTTTAAAACTACCTATAAACAAAATTATATTATGACTCTCTTAGAGCAGCTTATGAAAAAGAAACTTACAATAAAATTTTCCATAAAATAAAGTCTATGTCCATATAGTTATTCATAAAATTATAACTGACTTTAAGAAAACTAGGAATACCAAAAGAAGGACTTTAAAAATTAAAGTCAAAGGCTTAGCATTTGATATGGTTTGGCTGTGTCCCCAGCCAAATCTCATCTTGAATTGTACTTCCTATAATCCCCATGTGTCGTGGAAGAGACCAGGTGGAGATAATTGAATCACTGAGGCGGATTCCCCCATCCTGTTCTCATGATAGTGAGTTAGTTTTCACAAGATCTGATGATTTTATAACGGGCTTCCCCCTTCACTGGGCACTGCTTCTCTCTCCTGCCACCCTGTAAAGAGGTGCCTTCCGCCATGATTGTAAGTTTCTTGAGGGTTCCCTAGCCATGCAGAACTGTGAGTCAATTAAACCTCTTTCCTTTATAAATTACCCAGTTAACATATTTCTTCATAGCAGTGTGAGAACAGACTAATACAGTATTTAGCGTAAAGAAAATACTTATATGATTTTATGTATAAGGACCTCCCCCTAGAGCTATAACATTTCTATTTATACCTACAGTATTTTAGAAACATAGATGTTCCATAAAAGTCATATAATCTATAGTGTGAACATTTTTTAATGTAATTTACTTTAGGCTCACATATCTTTTAGCTCAGATTTTGCTATTTTATTAAGCTTTAATCTTTTAGAACTCAGAATGACAGCAGGGCTACATTAGTGACCTCAAGAAACACAGGGTCTGTTCATGAGCAGTGCCACCTAACACCATCTGGTTGCCTAGAAACCAAACTCTTACCTAGGTAGGGAGTTATAACTCTTTAAGTGAATCATCACAAGGCCCTGAAGTTCTTTTTTCTTTTTTCTTTTTTTTTTTTTAGACAGGGTCTCAACTTTTCAATAAAAGCCGGATAATAGAGGAGACATCTTAACTCACTGCAACCTCTGCCTCCCAGGCTAAAGAACTTATACTGCCTCAGTCTCCCAAGTAGCTGGGATTACAGGTGCGCACAACTACCACCAGGCTAATTTTTGTATTTTTAGTAGAGAGGGGGTTTCCTCATGTTGGCCCGGCTGGCCTCAAACTCCTGACCTCAAATGATCCACCTGCCTTGGCCTCCCAAAGTGCTGGGATTACAGGCGTCAGCCACTGTACCTAGCCAGGCCCCAAAGGATTTCTAGCAATATTCTCATTAGACTAATTCACAGAAAAGCTGTGGTAGCTACAAAACAATGGGGAAACGTGAAAGAGATCAAATCTCCTGTCCCAAAGTTCACTGCATTCACCATGACCATTCTTTGCAGAATCTCTCTTAAACTTGGAAGCTGCCAAAGTATTGTATCAACCACCAAGTGAATGGTATCCTTTAGAATATTAATGTTGACCACCTAACTACTAAATATCTTCCCTCTCTAAAAAGATCTGAGACTTCTTGCCATTTGTTTCCTTGCCCTTTTCAAATAACAAGAAATTATGGGTAATTCTTGATTTTCCAAATATTCTCATCCTTAATTGAATCTCTTTGCTATCTCATAACAGTGCAGAGTTCACCACTTGAATTAGTGTACCAAGCTGTGAATTGTCTCCTAAATGCATATCCTGTGGGTGGAAAACATAATACAACAGAAAGGCTCTAAGAAATGGCACCATAAAACCAACAACATGTTACAGAGTTGCTCCTTCATATTGACAGCAAATCAGAAGTAATTTTCTACCTAAGTTAGAGCTTAATTCATTAGATACTTCACAAGTTCAATCCAGTTTCTCAAAACGCAGTAACACAATCTTCCAACCTAATTATCTTCATTGAAAGTGTCTAAAAGCCTTTGCTGAGACACATTTCTTTCTGTGTCAGACAGGATCAGCATCAAGAGAGCAGGTAGGGTAGACTACATTCTGTCCAATGGTAAAAGATAGACAATTTAGGAAATAATTGTTTCTTGCAACGGAGCAATTTCCCCCTGGACACCAAAGGGAACCTCTGGTAAATAAACATATAAATGTGTGCTTTAAAAAACAGAATCTCAAGAATACCCTATAAATAATACTTTTGACATTCTGCAGAATTGAAAATAGTACAACCTGAATGATTTCTGTAATACATTTAATTAACTGAGAGAAGTTTAGGGCTCAGCAGGAATTTTTAAAAATAGAGCACAAGATAATTTGTAATGGAAATGCCATCTCATATCAGTGCCACTAGGGAAAATGATGGATATTTCCCTAGAAATTATCATGAGGAAACAGTTGGCTTGTTTTGATGGCATTTCAATAGCTCATTCAACAAAACCCCAAAAATTTTAGTCCAAAAACAGTTCACTTTCATTTTTTTTGAAAATCAGAAAAGGAATAAACTCACATTTTCAACCAACCATTTTTTGCAGATTATACTGGGGGAAAATACCTTTTAAAAACACTTTTTGAGTGAATTTGTAAGCAAAAATTAGTAAACCGGCAAGCAAGACTTCTCAGCTCAATCTCAACTCAAGTTTAACTTTTAATTATTTCCTAACTTCCAAAATTTGTCACTGCTATTAAGCTTTGCTTTGCGAGGTAACCAAGTTTTCTTCACTGTTCACTCAACTCACTTAATTCATGCCCCAGGCCAATAACGCATCTACTTTTCCAGCTGCAATAGTTTAATAGCTTCAATTTCTAAAGTAGATGGCATTCTTTTCTCTTTCAAAAACCAGCTCTGGCCAGGATTAAAGTAGAGGAGACCAAACACTTGAAGAGCTTCAAATATGTGGCATCGGAATTCATGTGTCAGATACAAACACAGTAATAGATAACGAAGTGAAATACCCAAATCACAGAATCCAATTTAAGCAACATAACCACAGATATATTTTAAAGATGGAGAGTCAATCAACAAGTATGTTACTTCATTTTAAATCTGTTATGAGCCATTTATGAGCAAGTAGAGACAGCACTACAATTCAGCATTTAGGAACTGAAACCACACATAAGCCACACTCAGACTCAATGTACTTACCTTATAAACTTGCCCATATGTTCCATTTCCAACGAGTTCCACCAATTCAAAGATCCCTGCGGGGTCCTGAAAGAAAATAAACAAACAATGAAAATTCGAAACAATATTCCAGGCATCACCTTAATCAAAAGCAAATATTTATTTAAATTAAGCAAATAAATAACAATTTTAGCTTTGGGAGCTCTCATGTGTTAACATTTAATACTATCAAAATTTTAAAATTTAAGTCAGCTGCAGCTATGAAATTCGTCAAGTTCCATTTTCTTTCCATTTTATATTTCTATGAAATGTATTTAAATCACTTGAAAAAGTGAAATAATAGAAAAGAATCAACACATTTCTCACTGTAAAATGGAAACACACTTGCAGGAGGTACATCAAAATAAAGTGAAAGACTCATCATCCTGAGAAGGTTCTAGTGTTCTCTAATATTTCTCTGTGAAATGTGTGAGCTGTTCATTGTGTTGAGTGAGTCCTGTTAGTTAGAAGGGTGTTCCTGCATTGTGGGACAATCTTACCTATAGTAGTCAAGAGTTTCCAAGGGAAAATAGAGTGAGCTTAACTACCTCTCTCAGAAAGTTTTTCTTTGGATTCATCTCTCTTCTGTAATACTGTCTCTACAAAATATGCTTTTGAGCATAGCCTCCCATTTCTGTAGTACCTGCCGAGTAGCTGCAGGATTTAGAATGCAAACTAAATTGGAGAATTATTCAAATTCTTACCTCCAAACACTTGTGTGCTAACCCTGGGAGTCAGCTAAATGTTATGGTGCTCAATAATGTCCAATAATTACTGCTGTTATAACTGAATTACTATCCCAAAAAGTTGAAAAGAAAAATCAAAGCCTATAAAATTCTATTCAGAGGCAGAAATTGACTTTTACCCCTTACTAATTCCTAACTGGACAGAAATTGCTTCTTTAAAGGCATAAATCTAAGAGCCACCAACTTAAATGCCTGCAGAGGCCAGGTCAGTAATGCAAACAAGTGAAGTGGTCCAGTTGGGGCCTGTGGCAAACTGAGCAACCCAGGGCTCCTTGAGGGAGGTAGGGTGTGGTGTGGTGGGGTGGGGTGTGGTATGGTGGGCTGTGGTGGGGTGTGGTGGGGTGTGGTGTGGTGGGCTATGGTGGGATGTGGTGGGGTGTGGTGGGGTGTGGTGTGGTGGGGTGTGGTGTGGTGGGCTATGGTGGGATGTGGTGGGGTGTGGTGGGGTGTGGTGTGGTGGGGTGGGGTGTGGTGGGCTATGGTGGGATGTGGTGGGGTGTGGTGTGGTGGGGTGTGGTGGGGTGTGGTGGGATGGGGTGTGGTGGGGTGTGGTGGGT